TGTCAACACAGCACTAGGGAACATGGTGACACCATTGATCAAATATTTGGTCAAGGCAATAATGTTTGGCTTTCTTATAATGTGAAACAAGTCAGAGGGCTGGTAGCTGTACTTAAGTGGTGGTAATGAAACCGTCACTCAGTGATGAGCGAATGCGCTTGGGTTCAATATGCAGGCCTCTTGTTGAACTCATTGTTAATTTCAGAAATGTCAAACAGTGGGTTCAGTGGGTCGCGGGTCTTCCTTTTTATGGGACCTTTCCATTCAATCATTTCAATTACATTTGTGTGCGAGAAGCACTTTAATAAGAGAAATAGGCAGCAAAAGGCCTGTTCCCATCGTCTGGACAAGGTTCTTGAGCACCCCAAAGTCTATACAAGATCTTAGGCAAAAAGCTTCTATGCTGTCTATTCCTGGGGGACAGGTGCAACACTGGGTCATAGACTCTGGAGGCTCTTTAGATATGGGCAAGCTGAGAGGTGGCTAGCTCTAACACGCAATCTAGCCAGCTTGTGCCAGGACAGATTGTGTGTGCAGCCACATTAGAAAGTCATAGACATCAAATGTTCTTCTGCCGAAAATGCACCATATCACCATAAGCTGTCTTGCAACCGCCTGATATACAATACACTCATGTGGCATACCTTTATGCTGGTCATACTGCATCAGCTCTATCAGCAGCATTGGTCCTTCACCACACATGTGGCTCATTATTCAGGATTTGTGTAACATTGTGTCACCATTTGAAAAGGCAACCAAAATGGTTAGCCTCGATGAGGTGGGGATTGGTGACACTGATGTCTTTGCTGGAGAACACATTGCATGGTGTAATAGACTAGGCACTCAAGGCACAGCAGTATTAGAAAAGAGAAAGCTTCCTGCTGCTTCAGGACCAAGATCCCTTGCCTATTCCCTCCATTAATGAGTGGCAGAGGCAGCAGGAAGCACAGGAGGACTAGGATTTGCAAGAGTAGGTACTGCTGGTAAGGAGGAGTATGGTTGTGGTGCTACCAGTGAAGAGGAGGGAGGAGGGTTTGCAGTGCAGTGAGGAGGAGGAAATCTGAGGCAGCTTCAAGTGTAACGTTTTACCCCTCCCTGACTGAAGAAAATAATTTTATGGAGATCTATCAAACTACCACCCTAGAGGGAGCACAACGTCCCACACTCCGAGATAAAGAGTGATAGAGTGATAAAGCACCTCTGCTGCATTTCTTGATGGCGCCTGAAACCACCGTCCTGTAGCAAAGATGAACAAGAACAACTAATGGGAAAAGGCTGTCTGTTCTTCCAAAAAGGTTGCCCTGGTTTTAAACTTTTTGCCTAAACAGGCAAAGCTGCCCTTTGTGGCACATCACTGCACACTTCTGCATAACACAGATTGGTGCTAAAGCAGTCTTCTTTTTTCTCCCTCATTTGTCATAGCTGCCTACAGCATTTATTTAAAGCATATTTCTACTTTTGCAGCCTAATTGGGATTACACCTTCTTTATATTTGTTACGAATTCCCATTTTCACATAGCATAACTTAAAAAAACAAACAAAAAAAAATCACAGCTTAGCTTTTTAGATGCTCTTTTCTGGAAACACTGATAAATCCTACTTAGTTCTCTTTGTTTATGAGGGTGCAAGGGAGCTGTGTTTGTGATAATTAAAGTGATTCTAAACATTTCTTTTTTTTTTTTAATCAAAAACATTTTTATTGAGAAATTGGTAAGTACAGCATTCTGAGATTCAGGAACACATGTTCAAACATATCCTGTACAGCGCTGAGCATACCCTTTGGCGCTATATAAATACTGTATAATAATAATAATAATAATAATAAATCCAAAAATACAGCATCCGACAAATCTCTGCATAAGATCTACAAATAATATATGATAATTGAGATCAATCACATCAGTTCTGGTTCCTAGTGTCAACTTGTTTGCAGTTACCAGTATTTAAACCAAGTTTTGACATCAAGTGGACAGACTTAAAACCGGCAAGCCACATAGATCTCCGAAAGACAGTTTCTGACATAGTGGATCACATTAATTCATTAATTTTTTGTAAACAAGACAAATAAAATGGATAATAAATTAGTAAAGATGGAATAAAATGTAGAAAGAGGCAGAGGCAAAGGAAAGCATATCATATAAATTGGTGGTTCAGTTTTAAGGTGGGCTTCTAGATTATGATATGTAGTAAGTCAGGGTACAGATCAACCTGAATCACATGGTACACAAGAGGCAAATCAATCTATGGATATACTCTTATGTTATAAAAAGTAACAACAGAAAATCGATGGGGCATCAACCTGTTGTCAACTTTGTATAATGTGCTCAGCTGTGTTCAAATATCTAAAAAATAAGCCACGGGGGTCCACATTTTGTGCAATTTTTCAGTAGATTCTTTGGCAATAGTTTTTTTCCATGTCATAAATGTCTTCTACCAAATGTAGCCATTCAGTAATTGTCGGAGTTCGGGTAGGCTTCCAGTGTCTAGCTCTCATTTTTGGCAGCATTTAAAAAGTGTCTAGTCAGAGACTGTTTATACCTTGTCATGGAACAATTGGATATGTGCAGTAGACAACAGGCCGGAGTAAGTGGTATTTTTTGTTTCAGTAAAATGGACAATTAGCTCACATATTTTGTGCCAAAAGGGAGCTATCAATGAATGCTCCCTCCAAATGTGCAGCATGTTTTCAAGAGCCTGCTCACATCACTAGTAGAGATTGGAAGACAGTGTGTACCACAATTTCAGATTTGCAGGGGTAGCGTACCAGTTTGTCAGCACTTCCTTTTTTTTAATTAAAAAACATGTCATACTTGCCTGCTCTGTGCAATGGTTTTGCACAGAGCAGTCCTGATCTTCCTTTTCTCGGGTACCCTGCCAGTGCTCCTGGCTTCTCTTCCCTGCTGAGTGCCCACCATCGCAGGCTGCTGTTCAGATGAGCTAGCCAGAAGGGTCAAATTCTGGTCAGGACAGAGAGACTCTGCAGGCTAGCCCTTCTAGAATTTCCCCCTGCTCTGAGGCTTTGGAGGAGGGCCTTTTAGGCAGTGGGTGGATCTGAGGAGTGGTTGACTGTACTTTTGAGGGACCTCAGCCAATCCCCAGCAGGGGGCTTGGCAAGGGGCTGGACTCTCTTAAAAAGTATAAGAGCTTGCTCAGTAGCAGGAGTGTGGTGGTAGGAGAAGAGTGAGAAACAGGAAGATGTGAGGTTGGAGGAGGAAGGCTGCCAGGAGGCCTAGTGGGATGGGGCCTGTCGTCGAACCTGGAGCTGTAAAGGAGGAAACTCAGGACTCACTGGTTCCCTGAGAGAGGACCACCTGTATAGCAGGGAAGGAGCAGCCCAACTGATAGGCTTGGTAGCAGTAGCCATTCCGCAAGCGGTACAGGAGAGGATTTGAGTGAGTACACCTGCATCCCCTGGGCAGATAAGGGAAAGAGCACTCTGATTGGAAACCAGATTAACCCCCTGCTAGTGACTGTTACCCATTTAAAGGAACAGGAGCCAGATCCCCTGCTCAGGAAAAAAGTCTCCAGGTAGCTAGGTGAAGAAGAGTTCATCTAGGGTATGGGGTAGAACAGCTAGAACTGCCTGTTAGCACTCCAACAGAGACTGTGTCAGAGAAGATAAGCTGTGAATAATTAAGGAAGTTGTCCTCGGATTTCAGTTCCCTTGGGCATTCTATATACCCTTTACCCCATCCAAGTTTAATCCCTGCAATTAAATAACAAAACCAATGCTCAAGGCCTGATTTCTGTCTACAGATGAAAGCTTGTGTGACAAATGCTAATTGACTGGTTGTGCAGGACTATAGGGACTCATCAGCATTCCCTGGGGGGTAGTGCTACACATGTCTATTAAAAAATAAACAAGGGACATTTCTTATATTTTATGTGAAGAGTCCATGCTGGTGATCGTCCAAGGAGGTCCACTGTTCACAAAGGTTGAATCATATACAGGTGCTAAACTTTCTTGATCACTACTAGCTGCATGTGCAAAGTATGTATTGTACTGAATCACTTGTTGCAGGCCCCATTTTGAATGGGACCCCCCAACATCCATTATACTAGCTAAACCTCAACATTATAGTGACCTTTACTTACAGAAGAAAATCCACAAAATAATGTAGTACCTATGTGCACATTATTAAATCACTTTTTCTAGGACCCCATTTAGAAAAAGACCTTCTACATCAATCTTAAAATCAAGAAATCAACTTTACAGTTTAATTTTTTTGCTCCTCTCAGAGGCACCATCACCACTGCGCCTGCAACTACCTCTCTCACCACTACTGCGGGCAGTACCCCCCAGCCCCCCTATCACCACTATGTCTGTGCCCCCCAACTCTCCACCACCATGCCCTCACTTCACACCTGCTCCACGGCTATCACCACCGCAGCTGACCCCCCTGAAGTGACATGCTGTTCCATATTCAGCACATTCACTGATGGGCACACTTTTGCTAATAAATAAACGCAAATCTAACTCTGAGATAATTTTATACAGGATACTGAATCTGCTCCAAATGATCAGATATGGCAAGATGATACCCAGTTTTTTTTTTTCTTTACGTGTGAGGTTAAAACAAGCTACTAGAAAGAAATGTGTAGGAACAGTAGGAATGTGGCAGCATATTTTTTTCTCTCTCAGTTGTTTTTCTCTATAACTGATTTATGAATTACCAACTTTGACAGATGCAACCACCATATCTCAAGGCTATTATATTGTTGTGCAACGTATATCCCGGCTGAAAGACCATCTTAATTTTGCCGAGCCAAATGTTTGCGTTTAAGGGTGCACTAATACTGATGCCTGCAGTTGTTCACATTGTGTATACATGTGCAGAGCACTCCCAAGTCTATAAGCAGCTTCAGTGGACCCACATGAAAGGTTCCAATTTGTCATAACCTGTATTAAGATGTCCTGATTTCTGCAGCTGTCTTTTCCATCTTTACTTTGGACAAAATGATTATTGCAGAATTACAGCAAATGTTTTTTTCCCTTTCAGGATGTTTTCCTGATTTGCTTTTCCTTGGTGAGCCCAGCATCCTATGAAAATGTTCGAGCAAAGGTAAGAATGGACATCCAGGAATTAATGAACCAGCCTTCAATTAAAATACCTGTTTGGTGCATTCTTTTACAATAATGACTCTAGATCAGACACCTTTTAGATGGAGGTGGAGATGCATAGAACAGAGGTCTCCAAACTGCGGCCTGTGGGCCAGATGTGGCCCTTTGCTTACCTTTACCCAGCCCTTGGGGCACTGTTCCTTTCACTGCTGCAAGGCACTATTCCTTACACTGGCACTAACAATGGAGTGCTATATGCATACATTTTAAGTTATTTTTCCTTCAGCCATTGATGTAGTGCTTCAGTCTACCCCAATGCTTCTAAATAAGAGATACTTTTTTGAGATAATGCAAGAGAAATAGTCCCCAACACAACCACTGCAGTGTAAGAGTGTTACGAGTGTTAAGATGTTTTCGTAGCTACTAGTCAGATTTGAATCTCCCTTGGTAGGCAATACACCAAGCAGAGAAAGTTACACGGCACAAGTTTAAGTCTTCTTGACAAAGGTGGCTGAGGGGTGATAAAAATATACAGTTGAGCCATGGTTTATTGCCCCTTGACTGTACAGCTACAAGGTAACATAGCCACTGGCTATGTTAGTTTATATTGCCACAGTTGTGGTGTGGAGTGGCATGGCACAAATTAGACCACAGAATGCATACAGCAGGCAGTTCACTAGAAAATGCAACCTGTTCTAGTAATACATGCAGTGGAGGTGCACTGCTGTAGTCTTTCAAAGGTCATATCACCTCTAAATCTCCTGTGAAATGCCCCTTAAAAAGGCTATCCACCACAGATCACTTTTCAGAGGGGTGGTAATGATGGGCACTAGTGTAAATAAATCCTAATTGATCAGTTGAGAATTTTGGAATTTGACTGCAGTGGATTACATTGAAGTTGTACTACACTGTCTTTAGCGTAGTTGCGATCTTTCCCGGCTAGCCTCAACAGATCACTAATTGATTCCACTTTTTCTCAAAAGGCTATTTAAAGACCGTATGGTCTTAAACCTTGTTCACCTGTGCATTTTTTTCACTTTGTACTTACCTAACCTGTTTCGTAACATTCTTACCTATGGCTCTGTCTGTATAACTGAATGATAATAAAATTTTAGTAAAAGGATTTCTGTGAGGATTTTTCAGTAAACTTATATAATTTGTATTCATATTTTGTTTGTTAGTGGTTCCCAGAGGTGAGGCACCATTGTCCCAGCACCCCTATAATTCTTGTGGGCACCAAGTTGGACTTGCGTGATGACAAGGAAACCATTGAGAAGCTTAAAGAGAAGAAGCTGGCACCAATTTCTTACCCCCAGGGTCTGGCATTGGCCAAAGAGATTGGTGAGTATGGGTACTAAAATATTGTTTAATTACCAGAGTGAATACCCAAAGGCCATTACAGTATTTGTTAGTATGCACTCAACAAATAAATGCAAAAAAAAGTTTAATTCTCGGAATGCCAGGCATGCTAACTCACGTTTGTTTGTGTTCTTAACCAAACTGTCAATTGCTGGTGTCATAACTGATCACATGTGCTGCACAATGGCAGCTGCAGATCAAACAGAGGCTAAGATGGCAGCTTTCTTGACTGAAAAGAATAGAAGGGTTTAGTTCCACCTTAAACTGGTCGCCTAACCCTAATGCAATTTCAGCTATATGTAGAATTATAGGCAAACATTTTAGTCTGATTATAATGTGGAATTGTTTGAACCTTAGCTTTTGTGTTCCCATTGGAAAGATTACTCTTCACTTCCTGTCTTTATAATAGTTGACCTTAAAGAGTGTTTCCTATCTTTTCCTGGCATGTTGCCAGGATAAAAAAGAAGGATAATTCTCACCAACAGAAACATAACCAAGCAATAAAAATCCATTTCTACTATATTCAAAACATGCAGTAGATTGTCCATATAAGTGGACAATTTGTACAGAGAGTGTCTTAAACCTTCTTTGTTATTAATAAGCCTACTGATTGCCATCAGTTTTTGAGCACAAAAGATGTCTGATTGGATATCAAATGGCTGATATGGAAGGTAAGATCATTTGAAGGCTGCTTTATTATGTATATGCTGCTGTTATATGGTCAGACTCCTGCATAATATGTCACTAATATATCTCATTGTAACTCCATTTCAACCACTTCCAACCATGAGTATATGAATCAAGGCAACCTATCACCAATTGTTTCTTTTAAAAGTATGAAGCAATCTAAACTGTTATTAGTAGGTTTAATTTTCTTTATTGTTTTTGTGATTAAAAGCTTATTGAAATTTCCAGAAAATAGCAATGTAGAAGAATGTGGAAAAATGTGACACTCTGTTTCTTCTAAAGTCATAGCAGAAAAAATTATGATACAGCAGAACTGTTCCTTCAATTTTGTTTGGTCTATGTAAGCCGTGTTTCCAATCAGCACCATCTAGTGAAGGGGTAGGCATAGACACAGTGTTAAGGTTAACAGTGGTTGTAAAACCTCTGACTTGAAAAACATAGAAAGTATATCCTTTAATAGTGTGTACTGGCCTCAATCCAAAGCTCTGAGTGTCATTTCTGTCTGTAGTGTGGTTCATCTGTTATCTGCATTCATAACATCTGTCATTTGTGACAGCTGGTGCTGAATCCAAGGGATTGAGCAGGACAAGGAAGGGCGCTCCAGCACACAGCCTGTGATAGACAGCTGTGCATATTTTCCTATAATACTATGTAGAGGAGGTGTGTTCTTTCCCTTCACTCAGGTCTCAGATTACACTCAGCTTTCCTCTATGAGCTGTGCAGTGTGTGACATCAAGTCCTTGCCCTCTGCCTCTGGAAGGTAAGAGAAGCTGTGTAAATTCTGGACTTTAAACAGATGTAGAGAAGATTGGGCTGTAGATAAATAGAGAAAACGTTTGCAGGAAGATTTGTTTCATCTCTCACTTCAGTGGGTATAGTAAGGGGTTACAACCACTTTAAGGGTCTGGGTTGCATATGAACTTCTATGCCAGTGCAAGGTAGATAGTAAAAGTGTCAATACTCTATTACATCTAGTGATTACAGCAGTGCTCTTTTTAATAGGCAAAGGAGAAACAAGTAAAAAGCAGTACTCCACAGAAAACAATTATCCATCATCTTTCATTCTCCAGGCGACCCCAAACTGATGAAAGTGACATGTGCCTTTGAAATTCACATAATCATTGCTCTGTGGACTGCCTTATTAGATAAGTCTGCTAGCCTCGTACATACTGCCTGATTGTCTGCTTTGTGTACAGATAGAATTGAATTACTCTCATCAGTCTTACCATGCCCAGCAGTTCAGAAACATTAGAAGCACACTAAGCACTCAATCAATTGGGGCAACCATACATATCAGTTTTACATCAAATGTTACAAATTTGTAATTGTATTTTTGATCATATTTGAAAGCCATTTCTTCCAATATGAAGCACGCATGTTTGCATTTGGTTAGGTTTGACCCAAACTGTGGACAGAGTTAGGATCTAAAATAGGATGATTTTCAAAAAAACTTTGCAATCCTATTTACCATTCTAAGCTTCATGACACACTCTAACCATAGGCAGCAGTCAAACCTTGGGCCTTTTTCCTTTCGCTTGCATAACTTTATTTTTGCAAGTAGTAGAGACACTCCATCCATTTGCTCCCTTCTGCAGCTTAATCCAAGTTTAAGACCCAGCAGGGTACAATATATCAGAGATAAGGTACATTTGGCATATCTCTGTGTCTGTAGCAATAAATGTTGATATTCAGAGGTGTGTGTGGCTCTACAGTTCTTTGTTTTTTGTTTTTTTTTTTTTACTGTGTAATTAAGTATTGCACATGCTACCTCATAGGAAACTAAACATTTTCCATCATGTCTGATCATTTGCTTTTTTTTTTTTAAATTATTTAAACCTCGAGAGCATTGCTTGAAAGCAATTGAAAAGTGCTCACATAGGCCAATTTTTGATAGGAGCAATTGGAGTATTGGATTAAAACATAAGAGTGCCTATTTTTCGCAAGCAAGTGTCCTCAGTAATAATAGTAATACACTAGCCTAAAAACACATAAAGCCACACATAAACATGTATATAATTTGCTATGCAGGCTTTGAAAGATTAAAGAAGCTAAATAAATGTTCTTTGAGCTTATGACTTCAAGATAGTTATAGGGACAACCAGTTATTAAACCCCTTATAAAATATATATATCATGATTGCCTGAGGGTCTGTAAATTCATAAAATAAGAAGACATAACCTGGAATAAATATCTACTTGAATCAACAGATTAATTAATATATGCATGGGAGGATAAGCGTGCAGTTTCATGAAGCAGAAATAAAGAAAAATCTTGTCTATCTACCCCTTAGGCAAAACCATGGGACTGCCATCCCAGGGATTAGAATTACAAACCATTTTCAAAAATAAACTCAGCAGGACTTTGAAAGATACATAATAACCAACCTCCAAAGCTGTGACATATGCAGACAGCAGGACATAAGGGTATAGATGAACCTTCAAAAGAGGGAGGAAAGAACAAAGAGAGGGCGCACAGGCCTAGTGCATTGCCATAAAAAATGTTTAATAAGAAATAAAATAGGTGTTGTACTCACAAACCAGAATAAAGTCAAGGCACATCATAAAAGAACAGCTAGGTCAACACCGCACTGAGTCACAGTCCGCAATGGGGAGTGTAGACATCCAATAACCTGACGCGTTTCGAGGACTTGCCTCTTCAAGTCCTCGAAACGCGTCAGCCTATTGGATGTCTACACTCCCCATTGCGGACTGTGACTCAGCGCGGTGTTGACCCAGCTGTTCTTTTATGATGTGCCTTGACTTTATTCTCGTTTGTGAGTACAACACCTATTTTATTTCTTATTAAACATTTTTTATGGTAATGCACTAGGCCTGTGCGCACTCTCTTTGTTCTTTCCTCATTCAGTATATTTGGATTCCCCGGTCCATTTGAGGGCAGCAAGGTGTGCATGTTCCAAGATATTCTTAATGTGGTTGTAGCCTGCATTGAGTCCATCCCCAAGCGCAGGAGCATTTGTGTTTGCTGGTTCATTGTTCAAAAGAGGGAGAACTGGGGACACAAGCTGCTGACCCCTTCATTACAACGTATAATCAGATAATCAGTACTTACTGAGAAGTTGCAACATGGCATCCATAGCATACACTGCCCTTACTCTCTTAATCGGTCATTGTAATCACTGTGTTTAGTAAGGAAAGGACAGTAACAATAGATCTGTCAATTAATTGATCAGCATAGATTAAAAATAGACAGTTATGTGGTAGATTTAATCAGCTAAAAAAGCTATAAATCTATTGTTAAAAAGATCTTATTCTGTAAATTGTTCACATTCTAATAAATATGGGCTTGATTTCCCTAAAATGAAAGCCAGATAGATATTAAGTACAATTACCATACTTAATCATTTTGTATGACATTTATAAACACATTCATGGAGTATTTGTCCTTAGACAGCTTGGCTGAGTTATACTTAGAGAATTACATATAAAATACTAGATCATTTTTAGATGAGAAAATGACTAATTGAAAACCATTACAGAAAAAGTAATATGATTTAACTTTTACAAATGCCCATGTAGTAAAATTAAAATCTGCCAAAACTATTTTAATAAGACATTGAGTTTTATTTCTTCCTTTGCAAGATAAGTAGAAAAGCAATAGATAGATTGCAGTTGGTTCAATGTCTACACCAGTGGTTACCAACTTTCTTGATATGTGGGGCCTCAAATGCGGCCATCACCATAGGGCCGCACATAACACTCAGTGAATATTCGTTATCAGAGTCAAAGACTGTGGACATGACACCAGAGATGGTTGGAGACTGTGGATATAAAAAAAAGATGGTTAGAGATTGCAGACATGATATAAGAGAGTCAGAGACTAAGGATATACTGCAATACAAAAGATGGTCAGAGACTGTAGACATGTAATACAAGAAATGGTCAGAGATGGCAGACATAATACAAGAGATGGTCAGAGTTTATAGACATAATACATGGTCAAAGACTGCGGACGTGCTGCAATAGACTGTCAGAGACTGTGAACATGCTATAGGAGTTGTTGCAGAAATTGCTTTAGGAGACAGTCATACACTGGAGACATATTGCATGAGGGTGCTAGAAATCACTACTTTAACAGGGCAACAGGAAAATACAGATTAGTTTCTGCAGGGGCCCCAAGGGCCACACAAAAAAGTACCAATGGATCACAGGTTGGGCACTAGGTGTCTACACCAATGGATCAGTGTCTACAGTCTTTACAAAGGTCTGCATAGCAAAAAGATCCATTGATTTTTAGCTCTTAGGAGTTTAGTAAGGTCAGAACAAGTCCACTGTTTG